ACCTCCTAAATAGGACTCCAACAGCGCAGAAAAATAATACCAAGAGTCAACTAAAGGAATTACATCACACTTAAAAAGCTCCTGCATAGCAAAGGAAGCAATCAACAGAGTGAAAAGACAAGCTGCTGAAAGGGAGAGAAATTTTGCTAGCTAGTCCTTTGGTAGAGGACTGATATTTAGAATATGTAAAGAACTCAAAAAATTAACCTGAAAAAAAACTAAATGACTCCATCAAAAATGGGCAAATAAACTGAGTAGACACTTCTTAAAAGAAGATGTACAAATAGCCAATATGTAGATGAAAACCTGTTCAGTATCTTTAGTCATTAGAGAAGTGCAAATCAAAACAACTTCGAGATTCCATTCGAGATTACCGCAATCAGAATGGCCATCACCAAGAATACAAAAATGAGCAGGTGCCAGAGAGCATGCCAGGGAAAAGTAGCCCCCCCCCCCATGCTGTTGTTATGACCATGAATTAGTAGGACCCCTGTGGAAATGCCTCAAAAAATTAAAAACAGAAATTCCACTTCACCCAGCTATCCCACTCCTGGGTATATTACTGGAAGAATTAAAGACATCACATTGCAGCACTGCACACATACCCATGTTAAGGGGAGCACAGTTCACAATAGTTAAACTGTGGAGATGTACTGAATACCTGCCAAAGTATGAATGGATGATATACATACACAATGAAATAGCATCCATCCATAAAGAAAAATGAAATTACGGCATTTGCAGGAAAATAGATGAAACTTGAGACCACCGTATGAAGGCAAATCAGACTCAGAAAGTTAAATAGTCTGTGTTTTCTCTTATATGAGAAACCTAAAATATAAAGAGGAAAATGAATAAAACAAATGAGGAATGATATGGATCTAGAAGGCAGACTCTTAGCGATGGAGGAAGGACTCAGGGTAATAAGAGAAGTGGGGTAAAGGGGTTACTGAAGTCACTCTATCTCCTCTAGGACACAATATCTGACACCCTCAAATTAAAGGAGGAGAGGTTTATTTTGGCTCGTGGTCTGTACACAATTCAGTCTACAGTCGTCTGGCTCCAGAGCAGAAGCAGCACGGCAGAAGGGCTTGCCTCGGAGCAAAGCTGCTCACTTCAGGGAAGTCCAGAAGCAGAGAGAGCCAATGGAAGAGCTGGGAAAGGAGGTAATGCCCTTCCAGGTCAAGGAGACAATGCCCTTCCCGGCCACGCCCACAGTGACCTGCCTCCTCCACCCAGAACCCAGCTTCTACAGCAAGTCAGCTCTAATGCCCCTATAATCCAATCACACTCTATGATCAGATGAGCTTCAGGGGGATGTCTAGATATAAACCATAACAGGGGTTGAAAATAATCAAGATATGTTATACACATGTGCAAATTCCCCAGCACAAACATCAGTCTTCTGTGCTACAAATATGCACTAATAAAAAATTGAGATAAGGAAAGGGATACCATAAATATCATTACTGTCAATAGTTTGGTTTCTAGTAATCTGTCCATATGGATATATTCATGATAAATAACACTGTATTTATTCTAAAAAAGAGAAAAAGATGAGATTCAAATAAATAAAATAGGAATGAAAGAAAAGACATTAAATTGATACCACAGAAACATAAAGGATCACAACAAATTACTTTGAGCAATTATATGCCAACAAATGGGATAATCTAGAGACATGGATAAATTTCTAGGTACATACAGTGTACCAAGACTGAATCATGAAGAAACAGAAAATCTAAACAAAACAAGTAAGGTGATTAAATCAGTAAATGAAAATTTTCCACCAGGAAAAAAAGACAAAAACATGATTATTCACTGCTAAATTATACCAAACATTTAAGAAACAACTGATATCAATCTCCTCAAACTCTCCTAGTCGGGGGAGTACTTCCAAATTCATTTTACCATGCCAGTGTTGTCCTGATATCTTGCCAATACTACAAGAAGAGAAGGTTACAGGCCAATGTCATTGATAAACACAGTGCTACCGACGCAGTCAACAGCACAGTAAAAGGTTCGCTCACCACAATCAAGTAGGATTTATCACTGTGATGCAGGTATGATGCAAATACACAGATCCATGAATGTGACACACCAAAGTAACAGAACAAAAGACAAGGACCATATGTTTGTCTCAACAGGTGCAAAAGAGGCACCTGAAAAAATTCAACATAATTTTATCCTGAAAAATTCTTAGCAAATTGGGTAGCTAAGGAATGCACCTCAACACAGTAAACCTCACTGACGACAAATCCATAACTGACGTCATTCTCAGCAGCAGAATGGTGAAAACTGTTCTCTAGGCTTAGGAAAAGGACAAAGATGGTCACTCTTACTGCTTTTATTCCACATGGTACTGGAAGTCCTAGCCAGAGCAACTAGTTAAGAGAGGGAATGTAATGGTCAGTGGAAGTAAATTGTCTATTATCAGGCCACATGGTCTTCAATACAGAAAGCTCTAAAAGGGCTACAAAGAGCTGGCAGAACCAGTCAGCCAACTCAGTCAAGTTGCAGGACACAAAATCAACATATAAAAATCAATAGCATGTCTACACCCTAACAACAAACTATCTGAAAAAGAGACCAATCTTTATATAAAAATAATCTTTTTATATAGGTACAAAAAAAAATACTTAGGAATACATTTAACAAAAAAAGTGAATGAACACCAAAAACTATGAAATACTGATAAAAGAAATAGAAGACACAGGGGCTGGGGATTTAGCTCAGCGGCACAGCACCTGCCTGGCAAAAGCAAGGTCATGGGTTCGATTCCTGGTACCAGAAAAAAACAAACCAAAAAAAAAAAAAAAAAAAAAAGAAATAGAAGACACAAATATATGGCAATATATTCCATGTGTATGAATTAAACAAATTGATATTGTTAAAATATCCATAGTACACAAAGAAATCTACAGATTCAGTACAATTCCTATCAAACTTACGGTATTCTCACACACACACACAAAAAAAAATACTCAAGTTTATATAGAGCTACAAAAGATGCCAAATAGCTAAAGCACCTGAGCAAAAAGAACAAAGTTACAAGCATAATATTGCTGATTTCAAAAGCTACTACAAAGCTATACTAGTTAAACATCATGATAATGGTATAAAAGCAGGTACCTACATCAATAGAATGACAGACAGCTCATAAACAAATCTATGTATTTACGGTCAACTGATTTTCAACAAAGATGCCAAGAACAAGTAGTGGAGAACTGGTAGTCTTAATAAGCAGTGAAATCTGCATATCCATATGCAAAATAAAGAAATTAGGCTCTCATCTCATACTGGATACAAAAGTTAATTTGAATGGATTAGCAAAATCCTAAATATAAGATCTGAAACTGTAAAACTACTAGAAGAAAACATAGGAAGAAACTACATGACATTGGCAAGGCAGTGATTTTTGTGTATGAAACTGTGCTAGTCAGCTTTCCTGCTGCTGGAACAAAATACCCAGCGCCCACAAGTTAAAGGAGGGGAGGTTTAATTTGGTTCATGGTTTAATTTGGACCATGGTTGGCTGGCTCCAAAGCCGGAACATGGTGGTAGCAGGGGATGGAACCAATTCCCCTAGGGGGCACTTTTCAAGCAGGGGTTTCAAGGGCTTTACTTCTCAAATGAAAGGTTGACACCTGCACCCTTGGGCCCGATAATTGGGGGTCTTACTGATTTCTGGGATGTTCTCAAGGCATCTTTCTTCTTGTCTCTGTTCAAAATATTTGGCTTCTTTTTAATGCTACCCATCTCTTTAGCAACCATACTTTCTTTTACCTCAACTACATGGCTTCCTTTTTTCTGGCTGAAATTTAAGTTTTATACATCCTTCTGTTCTGCTTTGTGCTCTGCCTTGAAATTTCCTCCATCAGATCAGTCAGCCCACCATCCCTAAACTCAGCCTTCTACAAAGTCTCAATACATGGATGAAGTGCAGACAAATCCTTTGCCAGAATGTAATATGAAGAACCTCTAGTGGAATTTCCCACGAGTTTTCATTCCCGTCTGAAACCTCTGAGCCTGGCCTTTCCTGTCTGCATTCCTATCAGCATTCTGGTCTTCCGTGCTCTGGCCAGAACTGCCCATCAATTTCTGCTTAGGGCAGTCTAAGTAAGGCTTCTCTAGCCTGCGACTTCAAGCCTTTCCAATCTCCACATACAAACCAGTTCCAAAGGCTTCTGAACCACAAGATCAGGTATAGTCACAGCAATGGCCTCAGTTCTTTGGTACCAATTTTATGTATTGGCCAGCTTTCCTATTGCTGGGGAAAAAAGCACCTGACACTCACAACCTAAATTTGATTTGGTTTGATTTGTTTTGATTTGTCTCACAGTTCAGAGTTTTCAGGCTATGGTTGGCTGGTTTCAAGGCAAGACTATCATAGCAAAAGGGGTGCAAGAAGAAAGCTCATCTCATGGTAGTCAGGAAGCATAGCACAGGAAAACAGCACTAGCAAGAAGTATACCTCCAAGGTCATGCCCCAGGGACCCACTTCCTCCAGCCAGGCCCCACATAGTCCTAGCAGCACATTCGGTTATAAATGTCAGCAGATGAACCCTAACATGTGTAGCATCCCTGTGATTCCATCACTGCTCCAGGAGTCACTTCACCCAGTCAAGTTGACTGACCAGGCCACAAAAGCACAGGCAACCAAGCAAAAATTAACACATCACACTGTATCAAACTAAAAAGCCTCCGTACAGCACAGGAAACAATCAGCAGAGGCAGAAGATGCCCACCAGAATGGGAGCATATACTGACAAACCATGCTCATGGATTAAAGGATTGATATCCAAGTATGCACTGTGTAATCAAAAAATATGGTCAATGTGGTTTTTTTTTTTTTTTTTTTTTTTTTTTTTTAGGTTTTTCTCCGCTACTGGGAACCGAACTCACGACCTTGCGCTTGCCAGGCAGGCGCTTTGCCGCTGAGCTAAATCCCCAGCCTCGGTCAATGTGTTTTAAAATTTTAAATTGTCAAAGGAGACACATTGCCATTGGCCCCCATTAAACTACTCCCCACACACACCCTCCATGCACATTTATGTCATTGTTCTTGCCACGTTCTGATGCAGCTCTGGAAGTCTTCTTTCCTGATGTCTTTTCGTGGCTGCCTCGATGTCCTGGATTTTTTCAAAACACTTACAGCAATTTCTGTAGAGTAAAATTAAAAGCATTATGCTGCATCCTCGGCCGCCTATTCACTGGAGATGGGGCCAGACGACTGCTGGCTCTTCCCCAAAGTCAAGATGAAAAGGGAAATGTTTTGAATTGACTCTGGACGTCAAGGTAGCCATGATAGCACAACAAGAGACTTCAAAGGACTCAGACAGGGGCAAGAAAGACAGGATAGGACGGCCAAGTGAGGGGTGGTATTTTGAAGGGAACTGATGACATTGGGTCTTTTACTGTAATAGGGATGGAATATAAATACTCACCATATGTTTTGATCACACCTTGCATAAGGAACACAAACAACCCAACAGTAAGAAAGCAAATAACTCAATTATAAATGGGCAAAGGACTTGAATAGACTTTCCCCAAAAGAAGCCATACAAATGGCCAACACATGTATGAAAAAATGTTCAACATCACTAATCGCTAGAGACATGCAAATTAAAACCACAGTGAGATATCAATTCACACCTATCAGAGCTGCTATTATCAAAAAGATGAAAGATAACACAGGTTGGCAAAGATGTGGAAAAAGGGAAATGTGCTGTTTGTGGGAATGTACATCAGTGCGCTATTATGGAAGACAGGATGGAGTTTCTTGTAAAAATTGGAAATAGAACTATTATGTTCGCCAGCATTTCCACCTCTGGGTATTCCAAGGGTACACAGTCAGTCTGCCCATGAGACACCTGGACTGCCACTTTCACTGCAGCATTACCCACAGTAGCCAGGACGGGGGATCAGTCTAAGCGAGCGGTGTGTCAGCCAACTCATCTAAACGAAATCATGGGTTCAGAAAAGCAGGGCTTTGCAGCCACCCTGTGATCACTGACTCAGGAGGGAACAGTCACTCCGCAAGGGGAGAAATGGGCGACCCAGCCGCCAGCGTTCGCGTCCCGGCCGCATGCTTCAGACGCAGGTGTCGTTTCTGTGTGTCAGCCCTACCAGCTTTCTGCCCACGTGTGGGGCAAGTCAGAAATGCCTGGGACTTAGCGTCCCCCAAAGCAGCCTGCCTCGATGACTGACAAAGGTTGTCCACCACTGAGACCCTTCCTAGAGGTCCCAACAGGCTGGGCGTGGGTGCCCTTCTCAGAGCCGGCTTACTAACACTCATGTATTCCCTGCTCGCCCTTCCAGGGTCGCCTCCTCATCTCCCTCTCCGGGTCCTCAATTCAGGACCAACTCTGGGAGCAACGCAACCGATGATACAGGTGCCAGGCTCAGTCCAGGGAAGCAGGCCCCCCTCCGGTGGGATTCCAGAATCAGACCACTAGCAACAAGGACATGGGTATGGGTGGGACAGTCATCACCACGACATGTCACAGCAGCACGATCACTAAGGGAGTCATCTGTGACAGACAGGGGGCAGACACAGGTGAAAGGGGGTGTGAAGTGTCCCTAGCACAGGAGAGGTGGAGGGAACGTGTATTGTTATGTGCAGTAGAGGTATGTGCTTGCTGTTCAGAGACTTCATACACTCCAGGGGGAAAAGGTAGCTCAGATCAGCCAAGCACTAATTCAGGGCCTTGCCTGGTGGTGACGCCTATAATCCCAGCGCTCTGGGAGGCTGAGGTTCTTGCTCAGCATGGCACCTTAGTGACTCAGCAACACTCTGTCTCTAAAATGGACTGGGGCTGGGCGTGTGGCTCAGCACAGAGGCCCTGGGTTTAATCCCCAGTACCGTAAAAGAAGAAGAGGTAGGAAGATGAGGAGCAGAAGCAGCAGCAGCAGGAGGCCTCCGTGACTGCGCCTAACTTGACCACGGCCTCTGCCGCTGAGGGCAGGGCCTGACCGCGAGGCAGGTCACAGAGGAGCCCAAACTCACGGCCCCAGCAAATCTCCTGTTGCCACATTCAGGGCTGGACTGTCCGGGTCATGGGGGGCTCTGGAACCTGGAATAGGGACACAGGAATGGCTGCACTTGACAAATTTGAGTCACATATGCCTGGTTGAAGGCACACCAGTTCCCTCTGCCTTTGGAACAAGCCTGCTGAGACTCTCCAGGCCTGGGCCTTGCTGGACAGGCCTTGCCTTCCTGAGAAGGGCACCCTCCCACCTGGCAGCTTCAGAGGCAGGAAGTGGGGCATAGTCTCGGCACGGCCCAGGCAGGAGGCGGGCTCCGGGACAAAGCAACAGCAGCACAGATGGAAACCAAAACCCAGGGCCTGGGCCTCAGACACCTTCGCTGAGCCCCGTCGCCTCACAGCCTGGGAAGCTAAGAACGAACCCAGCTTTGGAGAAGCGAGTCATCCTCCCGTGCATGGGTGACAAAGGCCTGCTGGGAAAGGCCCAGGGGACGGGCGAGGGCTGAGCCCCAGGAGCATGAGTGGACACTCACAGCTGCGGCCACTTCTCCCTGGGACACGAGCCAGGCTGGGCACAGACACTTTCACAAAAGAGAACTGAAGGGCCGGGGACCCAGCTCAGTGGCACAGCACCTGCAGGGCAAGCACAAGGTCCTGACTTCAATTCCCAGTACCAAAAAAGAAAAGAGAACTGAGGTAACCTGTCACCAGCGGGTCCAAATTAATATAAATGGCAGGGAAATCTCTTCACAGAGGAAAATGGCCCAGCCCAGAGGTAGGAATGCAGAACACCAGAGAAAGTAAATACACTGTTAAATCTAAATAAATCAGGGCCAAGAAAAATATATGAAAAGCAAAGCCCAGTAACATAAGACTATAGTCTCAGCTACTCAGAAGGCTGAGGCAGGAGAAGCATGAATTTGAGGCCAACCTGGGCAACATAATGAGACCTTATCTCAAAAATAAATAAATATTAAAAAATGAATAAAACAACATACGCATAGAAAGGAAATATATTGCAATAATGGAGTTAAGAGTATTCTCATGGCCAAGCATACTCAGCAAAATAAAAGAAACAAAAGTGTTTACTATATGCAGATAGGTGACAGTATATATGCTGTCATCTCCAGGACAGTGATGATGAGACTTTTAGAGACCCAGTGACCCAAATGCCACCCAAACTCACTCATTTATTGCAATGTGCCAACGGTGCAATTAAACCTGGATACTGAGGTTTGAGTTTAGCAAAAACAACTCATACATTAACATCTTTTGTCATAAACAAAAAACAATAACAGAGCTTTCAGTGACACACCTTTTTACTAAAAGGTAAACCTTCGCACTAGGTGTGTTATGTGCGCTGTGATCCGATGCTCGGCCACCGTGACAGTGCTGGGGTGACTCAGCTCCCGAGCCAACAGAGAGGGCTTTGCATGTTCCCTGGGGCGCTAGGGGGATCTTCAAAGACAGCAAGAGAACATAAAAGTTACAAGAAAGTAGATACTAATAAAGAAATTTGAGGAAAGTAGACAAAAAAATAGAATCACTTTAAAAATTGAAACAAGGCCAGAAAAAAAAAAATAATAAAAGAGGTGGGTGAAATACAAAAAGAATGGTAATGTCACAGATAAAAACCTAACTCTATTAGTAATTACAGGATAGTCATTACTATTGTCAGGTAGGATTTTTAAAAGACAAAATCTAAATGTCTATCACTTTAGAAGAAACACATTTTAAATTGAATATAAGATCACAAAAAGGTTAAAAGGGATGGGAAGAGGAACAGCGGCAAACACAAGACAAAAGAAGCGGGTGTAGCTCTCCTGACACGAAGAGGTTCAATTTAAGACAAGAATGATTACTAGAGAAAAAGAAGGGCCTTTCACCCAAACAAAGGGGTTGATCCCCCCGGAATGTATAACATCCCAAACCTAGCACTTAACATGTAGCTTTATTTATTTTTAATTTTATTTTTTAAAGAGAGTACTAAATAAAAAAAAAAAAGAACAATAGCAGCATACCAGCATCACAAACATAAATGAACCAAAACAAGAACATTTAAAGTGATACAGGGTTTCAAGACAAAAATGATCTGAATTAACCGTGGTTGTTATATTACATATTATTATCTTCAACTACGTTGCTCAGATTACCAGATGCAAGAATGGGAGATTGTTCAAACCACTAAAGAGAATAAGAAAATAATTATTAGATAAAACACTAGACATAATACAGAGTTTCACTAGACAAGATGGTAGAAATTCACCATGGTGGTTCCACTGCATATTGTTGTCTTCAAGTCCCTTGCCCAGATTACCAGATATAAGCATGCAAAATTGGTCAGAACATAAAAAATTTAAAACATTAACTGTTCCTTTCAATATACCATCAGACATCAGCAGTACAGTTATCCCAGCTATATATATATATAT